TTGAGGGAACATTTTCCATGTCTGTCACCATGGAGCTTATTTTGCATTTAACTATTTTCATTACATCTGGGTTTTTCAGTTACAGATCATGCTGCAGCAAGCGTCCTTTCAGATGTCCCTGTACATTTCTGTAAGCCAAAAGCCAACCATAGCCACTGCCCTCACGTCACTTGTGATTCGCAGTGAAGCCTTGAGCCTTATGAGCGCAGACAGCCTCATCTTTCTCCCCCGGAGTGGCTGGTGGGTTTCAGCCGCTGACCTTGCAGTTAGCAGCCACTGGGGCCTCTTGAGTATGTCTGTTCAAAACTCGCTGCTGTGGACTTGGTTCCGACTCACAGTGACCCTGTATGACAGGGTAGAACTGCCCTCGTGGGTGTCCAAGACTGTAACTCCACAAGAGTACAAAGCTTTATTTTTCTCCTGCACAGCAGCTGGTGGTTTTGAACTGCTGGTCTTGTGGTTAATAGCCCAACTTGCAATCCGCCTATAGTTCTCTGAAAAATAGGTTGTTTTTGTTTTGTCTGTTGACTAAATCTCTTATACAAATGCATAAATGTTTACACATGTAAATCTTTCATCCATCTGGAGTTTTGGTTGGTGTAAGATGTGAGTGGCGTGTGTCTTAACTTTGCGGCTGCCTCTTTCTCAATCTAGCATAGTTCCTACCTCACAAGATTGTGGCAAAGGTGGTGACCAGGACCATCTGTGGTGCCTGGGGGACATGTTCATTTCCTTGGTTTCTTCTAATGTGACCAGCAACTCCAGGTAACATCTAGGTGATGTTTGCAGGATATCATCAGGCTGTGAGTCTATTACAACCCTGACTTCCCAGAGTGACTTCAGGTTCTGCTCTACTTGACAGCCTGGTGACAGATGGACTGTAAGCATTGCCTCTGCTTTCTCCTCAGTTGCCAGTTCTCTGTTCCTCATGTTAGTGAAAAAAAATGTATGTTTCTCTTCTCTGACGGGCCATTGTGTCAGTTAAGGGTCTTCCTCTTCTCCACTGACCCTGTGCCAAGCACCATGTCCCTTTCCAGGGACCGGTCTCTTCTAATAACATGTCCCGAGAATGTGAGATGAAGCGTCCCTATCATCTCTCCTAAGGAGTATTCTGGCTGTCCTTCTGCCAAGACAGGTCTGTTTGTGCTTCCGGCAGTCCTCAGTTTATTTAGCATTCTTTGCCACACCAAAATGCAAAGCCATCAATTCTTCTTTTGTCTATAGTCATTCTCCAGCTTGTGCATGCATTTAAGGTGACTGCAAAGACTGCGACTTGGGTCAGGCGCACCTTAGACAGCTGCCTGACATCTTTGCCTTTTCACACTCTTGAAGAGGTCTTTTGCAGCAGATTTGCCATTTGTGCTCTTGACTGCCGTTTCCCTGGGCATTGGTTGTGGCCTCAAGGAAGGTAAAATCTTGGACAGCTTCCGTCTTTTCCGTCTGTCTTCTGTTGGTCACGGTATTGTGCACTGGTTCAGTTCTGAGGACTTCTGTCTCTTCGCAGTGGGGTGTCCTCACTGAAAGCTCTGGTCATTGCTGTTCATCAGCCAGCGCTTCAAGTCTCTGGGCTTTCTGCAAGAAAGGTTGTATTAATGAGCCTCCTTCCCATCCCGATGCCGCATTCTTCTCCACGCAGTCTGGCTTCTTGGAGTATTTGCTCAGCATTCAGAATGAGTAGGTATGGTGAAAGGCTACGCATCTTTTCCAATTTGAAACCACATAATGTCCCGTTATTCTGTTTGAACGATTGCCTCTTGGCATATGTACAGGTTCCACATGAGCACAATGAAGTGTTCTAGAACTGCTATTCTTTGCATTGTCTCTACTTTACTAGTTCCACACTGGCAAATGTCTTTGCACAGTGAAGAAAGCACATCTCGCTGGTATTCCCTGCTTTTAGCCAAGAGCAGTCTGACATTGGCAATAATATCCTCATTCTCTTCTGAATCCAGTTTGAGTTTCTGGCAGCTCCCTGTTGATGTGTTGCTACAACTGATGGAGTGATCTAGAAGTTAGAAAGGTACCTGTGGGTTAAATTAAATTTGTGAATAATGTCATCCCAGTGGTAATCCTTTGCCATGTATATATTTTAATGTTTATTGATTAATTCCCTTTTTAAAATTAATTAATCATTTTACTGGGGGCTCTTACAGCTCTTATAACAATCCATACATCGATTGTGATAAGAGTTGTACGAGCCTCCAATAAAATAATTTTTAAAAACCAAAAACAATCCATACATCCATTGCTTCAAACTCATTTGTACTTAGGTTGCCATCATCATTTTCAAAACGTTTTCTTTCTGCTTGAGCCCTTGGTATTAGCTCAATCCTTTGCCATATTTTGAGTACCCTTCTTGGTTTGCGGGCCAATCTTCTTTTATCTGAGTCTTGGGGAAGCAGCCCTATTCCCCCATTACAGAAGCCTCCTCCTCCCTCTCTCCTGGCATTAAACAGTGGTGGGTAAGCTAGGCTTGGGTAGCCGGGTGTGACGCCTGGCTTCCGCATCGTAAGCAGTTGATGAGAAAAGAGCAGTAACAGTACATTCTTACCTACTGTGTTTAGTAAGCGACAACAATGGCTTATTCCTCTGGCCTGGTTTTTTCTGAATATGGTGCTGGAGTCTTTTTGTTGCTATCGTTAAAGTTCACCAGGACAGTTTCTGTTTCCAGTGCCCAGGATAGTGCCCCCCACAATGTTGACCTACGAGCTGCCCAAGCCAGCTGTCTTATAAACTGCCCTACGTTCCGAATTGGTCTGATTATTTTCTCATCATGTAACATATTCTGAATTATTTCAGATAACTTTTCCCAGAAAGGATGGAGTTGGGCAAAGGAAGACTTCTCAGGACCGGACTGAATGCGTTGTATCAAGCAATACACCCAACTCATGGCCTGGCCTGGACTGATGGGAGCCACGTGGTCTTGACCGATGTACAGCTTCATCACGGCGAGGTCAAGTTTGGGCCCTCAAAGGTCATCGGACAGTTTGAACACATCTACGGGCTGTCCTGGGCCCCGCCTGCCACAGCTGACACGCGGGCTCTACTTGCCGTCCAGCACAAGAAGCACATCACCGTGTGGCAGGTGTGGCCCAGCACTGCGGAGAGGAGCCGATGGCTGATGTCTCAGACCTGTGACATCAGAGAGTCACTCCCAGTGCTTCCCCAAGGCTGTCTGTGGCACCCCCAAAGTGCGGTCCTGACGGTGTTGACGGCGCAGGACGTGTCCATTTTCCACGACGTTCACCGGGACAGTTCTCGGGTGAAGGTGGATACCAGCGCGCAGGGCCACATTCACTGTGCGTGCTGGACCCGGGACGGCCAGAGGCTGGTGGTGGCGGTGGGCAGGAGCCTGCATTCGTACATTTGGGATAGTGCACAGAAGACGCTGCACCGGTGCTCCTTCTGCCCAGTGTTTGGCGTGGACAGCTACGTCCGTGCCATCGGAGCCACTGTGAACTCCCAGGTGGCAGTCGCCACCGAGCTTCCACTAGATCAAATTTGTGGCTTAAATGCCTCGGAGGCGTTTGACGTGCCGGCCAGTGGTAAAGACACGTACCTGTGTACCTCACCAGTGACCGGTGCCGGGCCCTCTCTGGGTAAAGGGGCGAGTGCTTCTACAACAAGTTCTGAACCAACAGCTTCTTCCTCCTTTTCTTCTCCCTCCTCAGACCCTCTGGATCTAACTCACATACGTTTCAGTAGGTCTGGCGCTGAGAACGGTTCTCTCCTCTGTCTCCGGAGGAAGGACGACCTGACAGGAACTGGCCAGGATTCTTCCCATTTGGTCCTCGTGACCTTCGGGAAAGAGGCCACCATGACCAGGAAAGTCACCCTCCCAGGCATTCTGGCTCCTGATCTCATCGCGTTCCATCTGCAAGCGCAGGTGGTGGCGGTGGCTTCCAGCACCTGTAGCACCATCTGGGTCTATTCTGTCATTCCCTCCTCCATGCCGAACATTCAGCAGGTCCGCCTAGAGAGCAACGAGAGACCCAAAGGCTTAACATTCCTGACAGGGAAATTGCTATTAATTTTGGTCGGCATGCAAAAGCCCACTGACGTGGCATTTCTTCCTTCATCCAAGTCTGACCAGTATATCATTCGCTTGGTGGTTAGAGAAGTCACATTGGAAGAGGCGTCTCCGGGGACCTCCAGCGAAACCCAGAGCGGCGACGCTCCCTTCAGCGCGCTGCTCTCTAAAACCAATCAGAGAAAAGCGATGGAAAGTCTCTGCCCCGACTTTTGTCACCAAAACAGAGAGCTCTTCCTGACAGCTCGGACCAGGAGTCAGAGTGGAAGCCCTGGAAGAACGCTGATTCAAGAAATCAGAAGTCCTCCTCCGTCCAGCCTCCACGAAGGCTCCGTGGCCCTGGACACGCTGGATGCGGAACCTGTTAGCCGCTCCCTGGCAAAGCCCAGACCCGGAGGCTCCCCTGAGGCCTCACCAGTACAGGCTGGCCACTCGCCGCCAGAGCCTCCTAATTTGCCTCAAAGAACGAACTTAGGAAAGGAAAAGGAAGCTTACCAGATGTTATTTAAGAAACTGGAAGTCCTGTCGAGGAGTCTGAGCGAAATGCAGCAAAACCTGTATGAGCTCACGAGCTGTCTGCATCATGGGAAGAAGCCGCCTGCAGGGTACCCTCGCTCTCAGGATCCCCCTTACGTGCACATCGTTTGCCAGGTAACTTCTTTGAGGTGCTACCCCCGGTCATGCAGCCAGCGGGGGCTGCAAGAAAAACTTACTGATAAGGAAAGGGTTGCTCTTCTTGAACTTAAGGGCACTGGGCGTGTTGTATTATGGGCTATTGTTACAGCTCTTCGGGTCAGTTGTAGGTTACCCACCTGCCACCCAGATGGGCACACATTGGCCATCATTTTACCCTGGGCCTAGTGCGAAAAAATGAACAACTGCGTTTGCTCTGGCCGTTTTGTATTTAGAAAAATAATGATTTCTTATAATGGCTTAGTTGCCAAAACCCATTCCTTACACAAGACAGATACTCCTCTCTCTAAAAAAAAAAAATCTTTATTTTTCACACATCTATTTCTGTGTGGATATGGTGGTGCTGTTGTTAAGTGTTGGATTGCCAGCTGCAAGGTTGGCAGTTCAAACCCACCAGCTGCTCCAAGGGAGACGGATGAGGCTATCTGTTCCCCTAAGGATTGATAGCCTTGAAACCTTTTATAGGGTCGGAATCAACTTGATGGCAGTGGGTGCGCACACACACACACACACACACACACACACACACAAATATGTAATATGGCATAAGGAGGTCATGAAATGCTTTCCATCCCTTTGGACTTGATCCTGACTCTGCTTCCATAAGCCACTTTGACCAGCAGTTTAATGTGGATCCTTGTGTTTCCCTCCATAGTAAAAGTCTCACACAGACATCTGTCTGCACGTGTATATACAGGTGTGTGGAGATTTGTCGTTGGCTTACAACCATGGGATCCTGGGGGGGGCCTGTCCTCGTTCCTTCATGCTGAGGAAGTCTTCTGTGAGCATCGTGGTTCAGCGTTGGGCTGTGGCCCTCAAGGTCAGCCTTTCTACTCCTGTAAAGAGTTACAGTCTCAGAAGCCCACAGGGGCCGTTCTACAGGGTCCCTGAATTGGCATTGACTGGATAGCAGTGAGTTCTTCTTAACTGAGTCCCTTCATGCTGAGAATACATTGCTTATTCAGCCTTGTCTTTGTTGATGGACATTTCTTTTAATTCTTGCCCATTCCAAAGAGTGCTGCAAAATATTCAGTCTCTTTTATGTGTCCATTTGTATCAGCACTTTGATTTCTGTTGGATTGGTTCTCAGACGTGGAAGTGCAAATCTAAAGAGTATATACATTTCTGCTTTAATAGAGCTGTCAGATTGCCTTTCAGTTATTAACTTCACAGCGCATCGTCACATGTGCACCAGCAACACATGAGTCGTTCCTTTTCCACACATCCTCACCAACCTGATGAGTGTGCAGTGGTATTTCACTTTCATTCACTTGTATTTCCTTTACTGTTTGAATGAGAACATACTTTTGTTTTCTGGCCATGTTACAGTGGTCATATAGACAAGCTGTCCTGTCCCTGGATAAGAAACAAATCCCATTCCTAAATTTGTCTTTAAGCCGAATTTGTACAGAAGTTGGAACAGTGACTCACTGCCATTGAGTTGATGCCAACTCATCGCGACCCTCTAGGACAGGAGCAGAACTGCCCCTGTGAGTTTCTGAGATTTGATCTCTTTATGAGAGTAGAAAGTCTCATCTTCCTTCTGTGGAACAACTGCTGGATTTGAACTGCTGACCTTGTGGTTAGCAGCCCAACTCATAACTCACTGTGCCACCATGGCTCCTTTTAGAGCAGTTAGGTATGGTTCCCATCTAATGTCAGTCAAATGTTTGTCTTCGTATATGTGCACTGTACCTTTTGATGCATTAAAAAAACCCTCTAGACATGTTAAGACATTTTTAACTTAAATAACATAGTCATAATAGTGCTTTAGTTCATATGCAAATTTGCACCCCTTGGTTATTCTAAACCACTACTGTGTGTACCTTGACATTTTAATATCATAGGCCTTGCAAAGATTGCCTCTTAACTACAGGTTGTGTGCAAGTCAGATGTTTGGAAGCTAGAGATTGCTTGGTATTCATGTTTTAAATAACTTATAGAAAGTAGATTTGAAATGAGTGACAAGTAAGCATGTAAATTACTGTTTAAATAATTACTAGGTACTTTAGTTCATTTTCTCTTAAAACCGACTCAAGGGTATGTGTTTTTAGAAGAACTGAAAAATACTTTAAAACACAAAATAGTTTTTGTTATGAAACATATAAAACATCCTATCACCACAGTCAATGGTAGAATATTCTCATCACCTCAAAAAGAGACCCTGTGGGGAGGTGAAACTGAGGTGCTGAGACCCAGGGCTCCAGTCGAAAATGTTTTGGAAATGATTATGGCAACATTGGTACAAATATGCTTGACACAATGGGTGTATGGAATATTATAAGAGCTGTAAGGGCCCCAATAAAATGATTTTTTAAAATAATAATCATAATTTTTTTAAAAGAGACCCTGTGTCCTTCTGGTTTTGCTAACCTGTACTATTCTACCACAGTGGTTCTCAACCTTCCTCAGGCTGCGACCCTTTCATGCAGTTCCTCATGTGGCGGTGAACCCCTCAACCATCACGTGATTTTCGTTGCTACTTCATCACTGTCATTTTGCTACTGTTATGAATCGGGTGACCCCTGTGAAAGGGTCGTTCGACCCCCAGGCTGAGAACCGCTGCTCTACCACAACCCAAACAAACCCTCGGCCCCTGAATAGTGCCCCCATGGAGGATTGCTGAGGGGCGTACATGCTTAGGAGAGGAGCCAGCCTCACCTTTCTCTCATGGAGAGGCTGGTGGATTTGAACCACTGAACCTGGAGATTAGCAGCCAATTTGACCTTACTGGACAGCACCCCCAGGGGCTCCTTAATATCTTTATAGACAATCACTAATTTATTTTCTGGCTCTATTGGCTTCCCTACTGTGGACCATTCGTATCTTATTTTTGGAATCCTCTAGTGTGTGGTCTTTGTTGTGTGTGGGCTCTTTCACTTTGTGTCATGTGTCCCAGGGTCGTGTTGTGGGGTTCATCCGAGTGCCATTCCTGTTGATGGCCCATAATCCATTCTGTGGGTCGCCTTCCTCTTGCTTGTCCATTTTTCAGCTGACAGACGTTTGAGTTGCTTTCACCTTCTGGCTATTAGCAATGCTTCACTGCTTTTTCCTATGCTCTGGTGACGTGCTTTGTTAATCCAAAAGTTAGAATATATCACCTAATTTTTAATTTTGTTTTAAACAATTTTATCAAACAATGACACACATGTTATTTTTTAACCATTTTGTACCTATTAAATCAAATACTGCTTTAAACTAAAGTTAAAATAATGTGTTTTCTTGACTTTTCAATTTCTCATTTTTGTTCTAATGAAGTAGGCCAGTTAGGTTATTAATGGTTATCTCTGAAGAGTAGAAAATTGGAGGGTTTTACTGTCAGCATCATAATTTTTTTTATCACATGTGTATTCTTTTTGTAATAGGAAAAAAAGAAAAGAAAAATCAGAAACAAGGATTTTTCAGAAGTCACATTTCATAAGAATTAAATAAATTAGTTGCTTGTGACTTTATTTAAAACCTCACTAGTATACATTTTTTTCAGTAGCTCATCTTCCATAGTTGAAATCCGCTTGCTCAACACAGTGGCTGTCACATACTGAGTAGTGATCTATTTAATAACAAAATGAGATAGATGTAATTTACTTATAAAACTGCTCTCCACGCTCTCACTCACTCACTCACTCACTCTCATTCACTGACTCACTCTCTAATTCACTCACTCATTCACTAAAAAACAAAACAAAACTGCTCTTCACATACTTATATGAAGTTTTTAAAATCTTTAATATTATGTAATTAGAAGTTACTGGGGTTTTTCCCCCTCCTGTTTGATGAGTATGTCTTTGAGCTCTTAATGTGTCTGAAATTGAAATGGCAATTTTTATACTTTTTTCCTGCAGGGATATTTGAAGCCATTTTTCTAAGCCATTTTTCAAGATGATTCCATTTTTAATCTGTAAAATTTAAACATTTTCTTTTATTTATACTTTCTGTAAGCGGCGTGAATTTTTGATCACAGTGTGTTTATCCTTGGTCTTTAGGCTACTGGCTTGTCATGTCCTTAGTCATTCCCTCAGGAGAGCCAACCCCTGGTGCCAAAGACAGAGTCCTGGGAAAAGATCAGAGCAATAGGAAGAGAAAACTAGAAGCTGTGTGTTCTTCTGCACTTTCAGCAGCATAGAACCCTCACCGTATTTAAAACTGAAGTTAAAAGTGATAATAGATTAGAATCTATAAAAGGGAACGACAAAAGAACCTTTTATCCATTGTACTCTTAAGAAATGTTAGCTCCATTGCTTCTGCAGTCTCTTTAACAACCGTCTTCTCTCTGTTTGGAGAAGCCTTATTCTGTAGGTGCTGTTGTTGAGAGAAGGGCCATGCTGCTCTGCCATGGCAAGCTCAGGCTCAGTGTGCTCCAGCAGACCTTTGACCTCTCTCTCATTGAAATGCACTGGCGAGGTAGGTTACAGCAGAAAGCTCCCTCCCCAGCTCTCCCGCCCCCTCTCCCTCCACCTTCAGCTTTAGATAATAATGAAAATAAAGGGTAATCAATTACTGCATGGTTCACTAGATAATTTACAAATTATTTGCCTACTGTATGCGTTGAGTAGGCCTATTGCAGGTGTCTAAGCTCATGGAAATATCTAGGTTCTGCCCTTAGACAATTGATAGTCTAGCTGGAAAATGTCAATGTTCATTTGGAATAACTAGAAAAGAGTTACGAAGCACTAGATCACCAGGAAATAACCCAAACCTCACAATGCTTTTATACTAAAATGCAAAGATGATAGTGGGATAGTGGCATGTTTCTTAGAGGAGTTGCCACGCGCAGCCAGCTTGGGCACGAAGGGCACGCAGATGGCGAGGGACTGAGTTCTGCCCGTGCACAGACATAAAGGGTGCTGGTTTTCTTTCATTCCAGCCATCAGGGTGAACATAAAACTTTCTTTCCTTCCCCCGCCTTAACATTGTATCAGTATTTTAAACATTTGACACATTTATTATCATAATTGTCCTTTTTAATGGGTGGGACTGATATGCTATGCTGAAGTATAGCATATTTTGCATTCCCATATTTTCTCTCTCTTCCTCTATCTCTTTTATTACCATGGGGTTTTTTTTGACAGTTGATTTTTCCAACTTTTGACCATTTTAAATAGCATTTTAAAAAATTAAAATGAAAAAAAAAAACACACAAAAAAGAAAAAACTGTTAAGTATTTTGTATTTTATATTTAAGAAGCATAGACTTTCAGGAGTGAAATCACCGAGACACACTGGACTTAAGAATCAGGGGGGAAAAATCAGAACTAGTCCCAGCCTGTGTTAAGCTAGTGGCCCATGGGTGGCCTGGAACAGGCCTTCAGGGTGATCTGGGCCCCTGTAGAGCAGACTCGGGACGTCCCTGGGTTTCTGGTGGTTGGTGTGGCTCTCAAGGGTTAAGAAGACCCCTCCTCAAAGCGGCTGTCCAGTTCACCTGGTTTGGTCAGCAGTGCGGCGATTAGGGAGGGGGTGCTCAGACACAAGCCCAACACAATCCTTTGCGTGCACAAGGGCTGAGTGATAGATAAATGGGCAGCCTGGGCGAAATGTATGTCCCTTCACTGTGCCCGAGTAATCAGCTTGGGGGTGGGTGTAAGTGATCAGCAGCCCCTCCCTGCTATAACCTTGACCCCCAGTAGAGGCAATAGTCCCCCTGTCACCCCATTTTCTGTTAAAACCTTCTGAGAACCAGGTTCAATATCATTAAACTACTAGATCCCTCATCTCAGGAAAGCCAACTTCTTAGTCATGTTTTTCGCTGTCGTCTCAGAATAAGTTTCCTGTATGTTTGTTTTCCTTTGCAGACTCCCTCTGGATCCTTCTCTCTGCTGACAGCGAAGGCTTCATCCCTCTGACTTTCACAGCCACCCAGGAAGTAACCATAAGAGATGGCAGCCTGTGCAGGTCAGGTGTCTTCAAAGACTCTTTCTCGGAGTCTGGATCCTAGTCCTCCTCTCAGAACCTTGAGAAACTCTCCTGCCCAAAGCGTAGGTGCTCCTAATCATTTAGGCAGCACCGAGTGATGTTTGTCTAGAGAATATTTGCTGTAAAGCCTTTCAGATGTCACCACTGAAAACAAGATCTTAAAAAACAAACAAGGCCGGCTCTGCCCGTTTCCCCCCAGGGCTGGGCTGGGCAGCAGAGGAGCCCATTCTCTGTTGGATGACTCAGAAAGTGGTTGTTTACGTATTTATGACTTGTGGTTTTGTGTCAGGGCACAGTTCCCAGAACAAAACAGGGCAGTGGTGCTGTATGGATTGTGTTTTATGGTTCCTCTTAGGAGCTCTGAAAAGATGGTTCTGTGCTGTTAAGAGGCCTTTTCCTTGCCTGACAGATGAGAGTAAGGTGTGCACAAGGAGAAGGCATAGGTTCCAACCTCCCTTTCCCCAAACCTGCAAGAATTGGCGGAGCTCAAAGGAAGGTAAAAGCTGATTGACTTGCACAGAAGCACCTGGGGCAGACGGTGCTGTATTCACTTAAGAAGTGGAAGATGAAGGAGAGTCAAGACTTGAAGGGGTATGGAGTGGACAGGAATCCTGCATGCTTTACAGTCAGGAAGGTGTGCCATCAGGGTGTGTCTGCTCACCATACTTACTCATTCTATATGTTGGGCAAATAGCAGAGAGCCTCACTTATATGAAGGGTGCGGTATCAGGATTCGAGGAAGGCTTACTAAAAAACCTTGCTGGGTGGAAGTGAGGAGGGCTTGAAGCACTTGCTGATGAAGATCAAGGATTGCAGTCTTCAGTATGGATCACAACTCAATGAAAAGAAAACCAAAATCCTCACCACGGGACGAGTCAGTAACATCATGATCAACAGAATAATAGTGATGGTGCCAAGGTCTCCTCTTCTATGACTATGTTAGGCTTCTGGGGTGGTTTACCTCGGTTCTGGGAAAGGAGCACTTTGGTAAATCCAAGTAACTTTTATGAGGGAAAGGGGAGCTTCAGGTATCACAGTCTCAAAAAGTACACGCTATTTCTGGAAAGTGTGCAGGGCTGCATGGTGGGGGTTGTGCGAAAGTTTGATAATGAAAATGGGAGCTCGAAGACCCATGTGAAAGGAATACCGGAACAGGAGCCAGCACGAGGAGTCAAGGGTGTGGAACCAAGAACAGGAAATCCCAAGCAAGCCGTGAGCAGGCTCTCGGGTGTGTGTACCCACACACGGGGAATCTCACCCCCGACCTGCAGGAGAGCACCCGAACAATGGCGTGGCTCGCCCTCAGTCTGGTATTTATTCCCTCCCAGCCCCATTTGGGGGCAGGGGTATGCTTGAGGGTACTGGCCGACCTGATTGGCTGAGTTAGGCGCACCTGTATGATGCAATATTGCTCCCACCTGGGCCTAGGTGGCCTGGGTCTGTGCATGCTCAGTTTGGATTTTCCCATGAGCCTAATTAGTGTGCCTGATTTCTCTCCACTCCCTTTATTTGGGCCCTGCCAGCCAGTTTCCACTAGTGCAGGCATTCAGGGAGACAACCCCCCTTTATCCCTAATCTAGTTACCTTTCCCCACTGAAGGAGTATGGAGCCAAATTATTGGGGGATACTGGGTGGAGACAGTCTTCTGGCTACTTCCTGCTGACAAGTGGACATGAAATGGGGCTTTGGATCCACATCCTTCCTGCTCTATTGGGAGGGGTTGTTGGTGTTGTCATTCACATAGGGGCCCATGGTGGATGGGATTGAGGTGGTCAGGCATTAGTGATCCTGGGATTGGCAATCTTGGCTCAGTGTTCTTGGTAATCTGACGACTCCTGAAAGAGACAAAGTAGGTGAACCTTTTAGATAAGGCTGGGCAAGAGCTATGGGATAGCAATGTCCATGGAAGTTATGGGTTAGTCTCACATCGGAAGATTTCAAAGGAAATCTCAGGAGGCATTTGTCAACACTGGATTGACAGGCATCGCCTGCAAGCTTACCATACTTTAAACACAGGAGTTGTGTCATAGCACTTATTAACCTAAAGACTGGTGGGTTTGAGGTAAGGTTTTCTGCAGAGCACTTATCTGTCTCAGGGTGCCTACGAAACACCATCTTAAGGCCGCCTAATGATTCACATGTGTGCGTATCTTGCTCCATTCTATCTGAGTCTGAGGGACCTGGTTCCAAGGGCTTCCACAGCTTTCCCAGTGAATGGTGGATCCATGTACTCTCTCCTGGAACTGTTGGATTCCTCAAGTGAGAAATACCTCAGTCCTTGGATTCGTACGAGAAAGAATTCACGCCACAGCCTAGTTTGTGATCCAAGTGAGTTTTTTAAAGGATCGAAGCAATTTCAGGCATTGCAGTAAGCTGAACACAAGCCAGAGAGAGACCACGGCCCGGCCGTGGAACCTCAGAAGAGCAGCTGGAGACGAGGATGGTGGTCTTGAAGTTCCATCCTTTTTTAGGGCCTTCCACTGGGAGGCATGGTCGATGGTGTTGGTTGACCCATTGGCTGAATTAAGCCCAGGTGGCCTAGATTGGAGCCCACCTAGGTGTACTGGCTTTCTGGCTCAGAGCTTGAATTTGCGCATGCCCTTTAGTCTGGGCTTGCCTGATTCTTTGCTGCCACCTCCTGCAGGGGCTGCCTTGGCATAGAGAGGGACAACTCCTATCTGTCTACCTAACAGAACTTTAGCGGCAATAGGGCTAGAGAGAATTACTGGGGAGGGGCCTTTCCAGACTGGCTGGGGCTGGGAATTGGGGGACCTGTCCTTCCAAGTTTTTAGAACTAGATCTACAAGAAGGCACAAGGGAGTTAGTTTTCTTCCACTCAGGCCTGGATAAGCCCATATTGATGGAAGGCCTCTCAGCATTGGGCTACTCTTATGGCATATGCCTGTACGAAGGGCACTTCGCATCTATAGCTGGCTCTGTTATAAGGAAAGGTTGCCCATATAAAACTACATAGGGACTTAAGCATGTAGGGTGTCGTGGGGCAAGTGGGGCAATTATGACACGTAACAGCTATTGGCAGTGCATCTTTCCAGTGCATCTGCGTCTTTTGTGTCAGTCTCCTGAGGGTTAGTTTTAAGTGTTGGTTTATTCTCTCTACTTGCTCTGAGGATTGCAGTCTCTAGTCACAGTTAGACCATGTTATTCCTAAGTGTCAAGCTATTGCTTGGTGTCTTTGAGGAAGGAGGTTAGGAGAGATTGGGCAGCACCAACTAGGAAGATTTACTGGCCCATCTGCCAGTAAATCCATGCACAGTCAGGGTTCTGGACCAGGAACAGCAATCCTTTGCTGCTGCGCCGCCCAACTGGGCTGCTTTAGTCCAGTGAGCAGTTGCAGATTCACCACCAGACCACTCTCCTCTTAGGTCTCCCTGTAGGACAGAGAGCACTGCCAGCTGCCAGTTTGTTTACAGCGTGTGTTAGTCTGGGTAGAATAGAGAAACAAATCCATGGACACATGTGTGTGTATAAGAAAGAACCTTATATACAAGAGCAATTAAACACTGAGAAAACATCCCAGCTCAGTCCAGATCAAGTCCATAAGTCCGATATTAGCCCATATGTCTGATACTAATCTATAAAGTCCTCTTCAGACTCACGAAACACATGCAATGACGCCGAATGTAGAAGATCACAGGCCAGTGGGTAGAAAGTCCTTGGATCCAGTGGCATTGGAAACATCTCAGTGCTGGCAGGGGTCTGTGTGTGGTGGTGGGGTGGTGGTGGTGGGGGTGTTGCCCTTGCCCTGGACAGGCATGGGAGGGACAACCCCCTCACTTTCTGTCTTGGCTACCTAACAATCTCAAAAGCAGACAATAGTTTTGCTTCCCTTCTTGAGTGCTTTTGCTTTTTAAAGACCTGTCTGTATTGGCTCAGATCGAGAACACTAACTGGAAAGATCGGACAGGAGCTTTATGTTAATGAGGGAGGAAGAATTCAGAACGAGGGTCTAACCCATGCCATTGGATGGACATGTAGAAACTCCAACTGGTGCTTGTTTGGCTCTGTATATTCCCATCAAAAAGTGTAAGGGGACAAGCCAAGAATCAGCCAGCTGACTTCGCAATCAGGCCATAGTTCTGTTGTTGGGTGGACTTCTCAGGGGTGACACCTGAACCTCCTGCTTCCCTGAAAGTCTCTGGCTAAGAAAGACAGATACTTCTGGTCATGGCCTTGGGCGTCTCCATTCACTTTGTAAGGCCATTCAGTAGATTGTCAAGTGCTTCAGTTCCTCTGCACTCACTTGCACTGGTGTTAATAGGACAATACCGAAGTGCCCTGGTGGGTGAGAGGTCAAGCATTGGGCTGCAATCCATGTGGTCCACAGTTTGAAACCACCAGCACCCTTAGGAGAAAGACTGGGCTTGCTCCTCCAGTAAACAGTCTCGGGGACCCACAGGGCGTCACCGGGACTCCAGGGCAGTGGGTCTGGTTTTGGTTTAGGACAGTCCAAGCTCAGGCACAGCCCGAAGCCTGGGTCTGTGCTGTTTGCACTCAGGGCGTTCTCCCAGAGATGCTTTTCCATTGGGAGGAGGGGCCATAAAAGCTGCATATTTCCTCCCAACAGTCAGTTCCTTTAGTTCATTTAAGAGGCCTGGTGGCATAGTGGATTACACGTTGTGCTGCTACCTCAAGGTCAGCTGTTCAAAACCACCAGTGGTTCCAAGGGAGAAAGATGAGTCTTCCCACTCTCCTACACACTTACAGACACAGAACTTCCCAGGGCAGTTGGGCTGCCCTGCCCGAGAGAACTGCCAGGAGTCAGCGTTGATTTGATGGCAGTGAATTCGGGTTGTTTTTGTTTAGTTAACTTATTGCTTTAATTGTGATGTTTTTACTTTTCCTCCATCTAAGTCTGGGGGACCAGCACATTGTCTGGGAAAGTGTAACAGAAAGTTGGAAAGGTACCTGAATCTGAGGCAGCTGTAATATGCACTAGTGTATTGTCCTGGAGGGCCCAAGTTCCAGCCTGGCACGGCGGATAACCTGATGGCCTTGATGTCGTCACCGCTGCTGGCTGCTCTCAAACCGAATGGTAAATTTCAATTAAGGCAGCCCAACAAATTGATCAGCGGGGTGGCTAATCCCAGCACAT